GTCACAACAGTGGAACGAAAACAATGGGCCGACGGCGTGTGCTGCGCCACCTGCGGGCCACTAGGCGCAACAAAGAAAATGGGAAGACATCGGCGAGCATTTTAAAACCAGTCCCAAAAAAATCAGATAAAAACCTGATTTTTGGCGAATTTTTAAAGTGGATGACGCAATGCTGCGTCATCCCCGGCATTACCACCAGTAAACGGATGACGCAATGCTGCGTCATCCCCGAGCGAAAGTGTTAATATAACCTAACCAAGGGAACGCCCATTACTTTAAGAGAATTTGTTCTTTGACAATTTGAGTAACGTAGAATACGTTTGGGTTAATTTACTTTCCTGAAAGCCGCTACGGTAGTCTCAGGGAGCCTAGCCATCAGCCAGATAAGAATTAGAAAATTGTCTGTCGTAATTAACGGTCAGTGGGCCGGGTAACTGACATGTTTCAGGAAGTCAAAGTAATTAACCTCGATCCTTGTTTGATCGACTCACACGAAGGCTCCATTGTTCCATTAATGTAACGTCGTTATTTATCTGTCCGGAAGTACTGGCACTGGATTGACTCGTGGGAGGAGTAACGTCATTTTTGAATAACGTAAACGTGGTGCCTAATTACTGTTATTAGCCACCTGAATTGGTCTGAGTATGGAAGGCTCAGTCGGAATTCATACCTTAATGTAAATTGCTGAGCCAGTGTGAAAGGTTGTGTATTTAATTGTTTAATTATTGATCTTGAGGATATCAATTAATTACTCTAAAGGTAATCACGAGTGATTACCGTTCTCTTAGCACGTTGGACATTGTAAATCAGAGTTTACCATCGTTGAGTGATTGTAACTGATAATGTAAATTAACGTAACTAGTAAAGAGATTAATCAGCTATCTAGTAGTACAGGGATTAATGGGATTTTCTCACTGAATGCTCGACGGGTAGCATGTTGTGTAATTTCCGCATTACTAGTGACAGTTGTAAGAGTTATTAAATTAACGTAAATGTTATTTTGTTATTAACTTATATCAAATTGTTATTGATTGTTGATCGTCCCTGGGACAGAGTGTTAACGTAAAGATTAATTTGAGGAAGGGTTGCTGGAGCTGCCAGTGAACCCATTAGTTATTGTTGTCATTGAAAGGCTACTGATTTGATTGCATTGCAACCGCTATTGCAGAAGCAGACTGCACTGAGGCGTAGAACAGGAGGAGGTTACTGGAGACGTGTTTCAGAACCCACTGTGTCATTTGTTGTAATTTTGATTATACATCTGTTAGTTCTTGTTTCTTGTTGATTCCTCTGTGTTCACGCTTATGTTCGAGTTAGTTCATTATGCAGTCCGAGGGGCTGGTGTCCAGCTGTCATTGATAGTGTCGCAGGAAGGATTTCGAGTAACGTCATTGATATTTCTTTTTGTTTGGTTGTAGTAGTTAGTACTTTATTGAAACTAAGTAAGTTAGAACTTTATTGAAACTTTGTTAAACTAAGTTGTTATGTTTAACACACTCTTTCGTTACATCCCACACATTATAATTGTTATGCAAGTGTACTTCACACTCGACTTATAAAATTGAGACCGATTCAGAGTTGTGGACCAAATATACGGCACCACACAACAATAAATTATTGTGAGAGCCCAGGACCTACTCGTTAAATTCACTTCAGCGAATGGCGAAGGTCGTCGGCCCAAACGGGGGGGGGGATTTCAATTTTTATTGGGGGTCTCGGCGTTTGCTCGCACCTAGTCAATTGTTCATATATGGTCCCAGAGTGAGGAATGAGATGCTTACTACACTGGTGTGTTAGCTAAGCAAGTCCTTCCTCAGGTGACCTAATTGAATATCATGACAGGAATAAAGGTTAAAGAATAAAGAAAATTCTTAGAAATTTTCCGAGCTCAATTCCTTATACCAATTTCATTTATTCCCACTAAGTCAAACTCTCACACTTAGTATACCTAATCTTTTATCAGAAAGTGGTTAGGTTGCTATGAATAAAATTATGCTAAACTGTCAATTAGTGAGGAAGTAAATATTTTCTAGGGTTATCTTGAGGTTATCTTGAGATGATTTCGGGGCTTTTTTTTAGTGTCCCCGCGGTCCGGTCCTCGACCAGGCCTCCACCCCCAGGAAGCAGCCTGTGACAGCTGACTAACACCCAGGTACCTATTTTACTGCTAGGTAACAGGGGCATAGGATGAAAGAAACTCTGCCCATTGTTTCTCGCCAGCGCCTGGGATCGAACCCAGGACCACAGGATCACAAGTCCAGCGTGCTGTCCGCTCGGCCGACCGGCTCCCCAGCTTCCCAGGGTGCCCCCACTCAGCGGTTCCCAACAGGTTCATCTTTTCCCACGGTTTAACCGTTGAGTGGCAATTATTGTATATACAGTACAGGTATACAAATTTGTTGTATAATATATGTAACTGCTAAAATATACAAACAACAAAATATATATGTAACTGCTAACTAAGATTCTGTACAATGTTCAGATATTAATGAACACAATGCTGTTCAAGATGTTCACAGTCCTAGCCACAGCACACTGTCATTGTTTGGTTCATCTAAGAATCTTGAAACGATTTCTCATGTTCATTGATAAAATAAACTTCTTGAAAATTATTGATTTACAGGCTTTAGTGACCAGAATTCTGATAATAGCAGCATTGTGGTGAGAATTAGTGATGTGCATAGTATGGTGGGAGAAGGAATCTTGGTGAGGGAAGGGAGGTGGCGTTGTCAGCTGTGTGTCGGCCTCTTATGTCTGGACTCACCATACCAGCTTAGTGATTCGTTAAGGTGAGCAAAAATGTAGATACTTATATATACAGTGTGTACATAGTGTAATAACTGCACGAACAGTATGGTGGGAGGAGCCATTTTGGTGAATAAGGTGGCATCATCTGCTTGCTGCTGTGACTTGTGTCATGCAGTGTATGGTGGCCGTGATGATGTTTGGACACTATACCAGCTTAGTTGTACAGTTATGGTGAACAAAACATGTAAATACGTATATATAATGTATGTATATAGTGTAATAACATTACAAACAGTATGGTGGGAGGTGGAAATTTGGCTGTGAGGTAGCATCGTCAGCTAACTGGTGTGTTGGTGGCCACTATGCTGTTTCGATGCACCACACCAGATTAGTGGTTCACTATGGTGAACAAAACATGCAGATACTTATACAGTGGCACCTCGACTTACGATTGCCCTGACTTACAATAATTTCGAGTTACGATGTAAAATTTCATCGAAAAATTCGACTTGACATCCGAAGGTGTCGTCGACTTACGATATTTCTTGGTACGCGTTCGGGTCGGCCGAGCGCGTGGCTCCCGGTCACGCAGTCCAACCTGCCCGCTTAGTGATGATCGTGCCTATAAGAAATTCCGCGTTTGTGGTGATTTTTTGCATTTTGAACATTAAAGTGATTATTATATATCACACCATGAGTCCCAGGAAAGTCAGTGGTAAGGCTCAACATATGAGATCCCATGTAAGAATGACCATAGAGCAGAAACGAGATCATTCATAAATATGAAGATGGTGTGTGGGTTGCTGAACTGGCTAGGCAGTACAACAAATCTCAGTCAATGATATCCATCATACTGGCTAAGAAAAAGGACATTATGGTGCTAAAGTGATGCATCATTACAGACAAATGTTAAAATGAAGGGAAGAACAAATGTCTCTTGACAAATTCGTAGCGAGACAAACAAGCACTGAACCACAACCAGGTCCTAGTGGTATTCAGGCAAAACGTAGGAGAGAGAGAGTACCCCAGAGAAAACATCACTGCCTGATGTGATAATGGAAGGGGACTCCCCTTCCAAACAGTAACAACTCTCCTCCTCCCCCCTCATCACCATCTTCCACACGCCATCAAGAGCCCTCCATAAAGGTAAGATAAACTTAGGTACTGTATTGTAGTTAGAAAAAACATTGTATTCAGTATAAAATGTATTTGTATGTTAATATTTTGGAGGGTGGGAAACGGATTAATTCAATTCCCTTTATTTCTTATGGGAAAAATCGCTTCGACTTATGATATCTCGACTTTCAATCCGTCTCTGGGAACAGATTAGCATCGTAAGTTGAGGCCCCACTGTATATATATAATGTGTATATCGTGTAATAACAGTAACAAAATTTTTTTTATTGTTTTATGAACATAATTGAATCACTAATATGCACACCACACTTTTGAGTATAGCAATGGTTCACACATTTTATTACATAAATATTTCACACTACACACTATTGAATAATATTATAGCTAAAAAAACAAAAGAAAAATTAGTCAGAGACATTGAAATAATTAGGTAATAATTAGGCCCGTGTGGATTTGTTCATTGGATGCATCACGCAATTGTAATTTCTGTGTGTAATGAAGTAACGGCGAAGAGGGAGAACAGCCTATTGACAGCTCGAGTGCATGGGGAAAAGTTGTGTAAAACCCTGGTTTGTGCCTCAGAGAGGCTGCAGGATCCAGCAAGTTCAGTAGAACTTCGGTTTCAACTCCTTTTGACCATGTAGTAGCTCAGTCGATTAAGGCAGCGTCTGGGATGCTCTCAGACGCAGGTTCGAATCCTTGTCACGGCCCTTGTGGATTTGTTCATTTGATGCATCACGCAATTGTGATTTCTGTGTGTAGTGTAATTAGGTAATAATAACTTTGTGGCAACTTCCGCCTGATGGCTCGGGTGGAGGAGATTGACCCCGAACGTGCAATCTTTCAGAGACTGAATTTTGCCAGACTTCCTTGCCCTATTTTATGGCCAAAATGTGTCGCGTACAATATTTTTTATTATTTTTTCTATGATCAAGGAACACATTTTAACAATCGTGGAGGGAAACAATTTTTTTTTCCCTTGTGCACAAAAGTATTGTTGACTATTATTTGCAGTGCCGCCCAGAGGTTAATGCCCCTTCCTTCCTTCCTTTGCCCACAAAATAATATACAAAATTTATCTATAGTCAAACAACCTAATTAGAGAGTTCACTGACCTCATTTTGAAGTGTATTCCTTATAGACTCTGCTTCTGCCAGCTGATCTCTCATTGCAGACATCTCGTGACTATGTCGGAGAGCCTGCTGCTGTGCTCTTTCCTCCTGGTCCACACAAACACGTTCTAAGTCAGATTTTAATCTGACAAAGTATAAAGAAAATTATATATATATATATATAATAATACATGAGTGAACAAACCCAGGTTTAGCGCCATGATCAGTGCCCCCATTTCCCACTTTCATAGGACGGGGCCTAGTCCTATGGTCTGCCTAGAAAGGTTCAAAGTGTTACAAAAGAGGGGTTCAAGATATGCCTATTGTCATACTACTTCCCACACCATATACTATCACAGCAACCCAATGATAATCATTTAACAATTTTAATTATGCAAATCTGGTTAAGAAATGCACAATATAATTTAAATTAATTTTCTTTGTACAGTAAAAGAAAATAAAAGAATAAAACTTATCATTGTAGCCGCAATTCAAAATTTAATTAATTTAATAACCAAGGAATTCAAACTGATACTCCGAGACAAAATTGTCCTCAGTTACCTTCGAAATTCTGTAAATGTAACTTACACTGACACACAAAATTTGAACATGTGGAAAAGCAAAGATGCAACCCAGCAGTCACTTCACCTATATATATGGAGTGGTGTTTATGATCTTAGTAACAAAATCAGGCTGTAAGAAGCATAATAAAAAAAAGTATGAGATGACCACAAAAAACCTGCACATCACCAATAAATTAAAAAACCAGCATTGAATGTAATGAAACGCTATTTTCTGGGCGAGACCCGGAGGCTCCCCGGAGCTTACTAGGCCGATATACTAGTGTCAGACTTTGGCATCAGTCATGTGTATGGAGTTTTGTGGGCCTACCGGAGACCACGAGCCAGAACCTGGCACCCTCGGAGAGGCATGGGAAGCAATTGCCTATAGAAACCCCCGTGTGGCTGGAAGCATTCAATGTCTGCCATCGACCGGGTCAGGAACCCAGAAAGGTAAGCATCCCAAAACAAACCTCTATTTTGGTGAAATTTTGCTACCAAAAGCCGAACAAGTAGATAGAACTCCCCTAAAAGAATCGAGCAAACGAGCATGACGTCACACGTCACCGCGCCACTGTCTGCGCAGCTTCCCCCTCCCCAAGAGGGGAAAGGGAGAGCCCCAGACCCCCGTGCCAGCTATCCACCCTTCAGGTCTGAGGCTGGATGTCAAAACACGTGAGAAAACCGCCAACCAGAGGGAGGGAGGGAGGGATGCCGGGAAGCCTCCAGGTCTCACCCAGAAAATGGCGTTTCATTAAATTCAACACTGGTTTTCTGGGAGGAGCCCCTTTGGCTCCCCAGAGCTAACTACCCACAGAGGAAAAAATAGAGGGACTTACCCAGGAGGCGGTCGCTGCTCACTCCTCACCTCGAAGTCGAGACAACTGGCTGCAACTGCCGACCAAATGTAACACAGGCCCGATGAGGCCCAGGAACGTCTACGAGATATCGTGCAGCTATGACCATGTTCGACCGCCAAAAACTCTGTGCCTGAATGTAAGACCAGGACACATTGCCAAAGACGGCAGCAAGCACAGCGAACTTATGAACGTCATGGGCACATGGATAAGCCACATTAGCTAGACTTAATAACCCTGCGGACGACCTGGAAGACCCACACCCACAAACAAAGAAGAAGGGAAACCGAATGAACCCAAAGTGTGTCCCCAGACACAGAAGCCGTGGCGCACAAATAACGGCGAAGGGCCACTACCAGACACAAAACATGATGCACCCCAGGCCTGACCAACCAAGCATCAACAACCCAAAGACCCCTCTGGAAAGCAGCAGTCTCATTCTTTGCCACAAAAGGAGATGGGTTCAGACGAACAAAACCATCGCTACGACGAAAAGAGCAGAAACCCATGAGCCGGAGGAGAGCATGAAGCTCCTCAACCCGACCCCCAGAGGCCAATACCAACAGAAAAAGAGCCTTCGAGAAAATCCTGAACCAAAGGGGCCACAACAAACCGAGAAGAAAAGAGAGCACTCTGTCCAATGACCGGGATGGCTTAGGTGGCGCATGAGCAGGCCAGAGTTGACACAACGCACAAGACAGTTTGCGAAACGGTGCAGAAGTAACATCAATACCAAAAACAAACTGAAGCGGCTCCGCATGAGCCGCACGATAAGAGGTGATAGTGTTAAGCATAAGACGACGGTCCTGGAACAACCAAGGAAGAAAGGACAACACCACCCGAACAGAGAGCGAAGCACAACAACGAAGACGCAAAAAGAACCGGAACGACCACCAAGAAACTTCACACTGCCGCCGAGACAAAGCCCGCAGGTGGAACACTAACAAGGAAGCCACCTGATCATCAGAGATGATAAACTCGAGTCAAAAACACCATACGCGAAGACTCGAGGAGAAGATCGAACCAGCCACGTGACGCTCCGGTCCGATCTGTTGGAAGAGGCGGAGCAGCAGGAAAATCTCCGGGTTCGGACATCGGGCAAGCGGCGCCTGAAACCACGGCTGGGCTGGCCACCACAGGGCCAAGAGGACTACTCTCCCCTGGTAAGTCTCCAAGCGAGTCAGGAGCTGAAGCAACAGCTGAACCAGGGGGAAAGAAGTACAGGAACCCCCACCTCGACCAGTCCTGCCGAAAGGCATCGACCCCGACGGCCTCGCAATCGGGGAAGGGTGCCACATACTGGGGGATAAACGAACGAAACAAGACAGGCCATCGGCCAAGACGTTGGATACTCCCCACAGGTGAACCGCCAGGAAAGCCAAACCTCGAGAACTCAGCAGACGAGTCACCTGAAGCGACCAGCGCCAAAGAGGCAAGGACCGCATCGAACCCCCTCGGTTCAGGCAATGAACCACCGGGAAGCAGTCCGAATGGAACCGGATCGTTGATCCGCGGGCGACCTGAACCCTCTGAAGAACAAACCACACCACCGCAAACTCCCGCACCGTGCTGTGGGCCTGATGGAAGGACGGATCCCACTGTCCCTGGGCCAGCCTGGTGAGCATTGGTCACAAAGCCCTAGCCGAGAGGCGACGCGTTCGTAAACACATCAAGCGAGGGCGTGGGTAGGCACCAAGGCATTGAACCCTGAAAAACCCGAGGAGAAGCAGCCGCCGCAAGGCCCCTGGGGGCTGAACCCAGCGATCACGAGAGAGGCGGAAGGGATGTCCCCGAAGGAACCAGAACAGCTGACGAAGCCAAACCCGACTCCTGCGGGTAGACCATCGACATGAAGTTCAGGCTCATGTACAAACCCACGAGCAACCGCTAGGTGATCCAGAAGCCCCCCAGAAACAGGCGCAAGCAAGACCGCAGCTGCAGGAGAGACTTCGGAGGAAGAGACAAGGAAGCGATCCGAGAGTTCCACACAAGACCCAGCCATATCCGAACCTGGCGGGAACCACATGGAACTTCCTCCAGTTCACCAAGAACCCGAACCCAGCGAGCTGGGAAAGAACCAAATCCCTGTCTAGCAAACAACAGGACTGGCTGGGAGCCCAAACCAGCCAGTCGTCGAGGTAGGCCAACACCCGAACACCTTAGAGATGTAGACGGGCCACGACGACCCGAGTAAGGCGTGTGAACACGCGAGGTGCCAGATTCAACCCAAACGTGAGACAACGAAAGCGGTAACCCTGACGCCTCACAACAAAACTCAGCCAGTCCCTGAACCTCAGATGAACCGGGACGTGTCAATACGCGTCCTTGAGGTCCATGGACACCATCCAAGCGCCCGGCTCCAACATAAGACAGACCTGGGACAGCGTAGTCATCCTGAAGGAGGGGCAATAAACCCACAGGTTCAGACGGGACAAGTCTAGAATGAACTGGAGGTCTGCACAGTTCCGTTTCGGAACCGGAAACAGGCGGGAAACCCACCTGAGGGACGTTATCGTTTCGACCATGCCCAAGTGAACCCACTCCGAGGTGGCCTGACTGAGCGCAAGAGAAGAGGCCTGGTCCACCAGTCCCGTACCCCCCGGAGGAATGAAGAGCCACCCAACGCCACCACAGGCCGCAAGAAACGCCCCAAAAAGCTGCCGAATCGTGGGACCAGGCACGAGCAAAGAAAGCGAGCTTCTCTCCCCCCATCCCCATCGCCCCGTCAATGGGATGAACAGCAAAAAGGCCGACGCACCTTACAAGAACCTATGCGGCGGACAGGGCGTTCCCCGCGCCGACCAGAAAAAGATGGAACCGAAGGCTGCGCCTGCCCCGAATCAGGCACCACTGGCCTACCATAACGAATGGAACCCCAAGCCCTGGCACTACTCTTCCGGAAAGCCCCCTCCCATGAGCCCCTCGGAGCACCAACATGTCAGACATAGGTCTACAACTAACCGAAGCCGCCTGCAGGTACTGCACCACCGCAGACTCTGCAAACAACAAAGGACTAAAAGGGGGAAAACAAGCGAAGAGCCAGGGCCCAAGCGGATTCCAAACAAGCAGCAAACACCGCCTGCTGACATGTGTGGCGTGAAGCATAGAACCGCGAAACCGCATCACGCAGAAGGCAGCGCACTAGACTCGGCAGCGTCCCCACGTGCCCTCACATCCAACTCAAGCCAATCCGAGGCCAGCTCAAGGAGGGAAAAGAAATGCAGGGCCGAGGCAAGCAGGAAACGAGTACGCAAATCCTCCGTAACCAAGGCAGCCGAAAGGGAAGGAACTTTCATGTGAAGCTGTGTTACACCAACATCCCGCAGAAGGGCTGGGGCGAACAAACAAGCAATGAGATGCTCGAAGTTGCCCCCCCCCCCCCCCAGAAAATCTGAAACGCCGTCCAAGTCTCGCCAGTCACGCGCTCGGGACCGACAGAACGTTTGCCAAGCCCCCCAATGAAAAGAGAGAGGACAGGCTGCCAACCATAACGACTCCGGAACTTCAAACTTCCTAATGAACCCAGTACAGACAAGACGAACCGTACACGAAGGAACGCGGATCCATCACCAAGGCATAATCCATGTCGTGCAGGAGGTAAGCTGCAAGGGCTTCCCGCATCTCAGATGACAGGGCGCGGGAAGCTGAAAACCTCCGGAAAAACGAAACCAAGGAACCCACAGGATCATGGAACCGAACCTGGGGAGGGGTATACACTAAATCCAATTCGTATGCGGAGGGAGTGAAAGAGAACCCATTTCCTTTTAACATTAAGCCCCACTCAGAGGGCAGAAAAACAAAGGCGGAGTCCACTGGGGCCCAAGGCCCCAAAGTCAGCCCCTCCCCAGCCCTGGGAACCTCTCCGAGAGGACCCGGGGCCAAGCCAGCCTCCAAACCCCCACTTCAAAAGAAAAAGAGGGAGCCGCCGAAAAAGCAGGAACAAAGGGGGGGGGCCGACTGGCCAGACCCAGACGCTACGGCTGAAGGACCAGGCTCGAATGCCTCAGTCGCAACCCCAGAAGGGGACACCCCCGAGACCACCCGAGTCTCAACACCACTAACTAGACCCTACCCCAACTCTGAAACCCTCAGACGCTTCGGAGCCAGAAGCAAGGGGAAAGGGGGGGAGGGATAAACAACAGAGGAGGAAGGACTAGAAGGGGCGGAGGGAACTAGAGCCGAAGCAACTCCCCCCCCCCCCCAAGTCCGGGTCCCGATAAACAAAACGGGGTGGTCTCGGGGCATCCGGGGCAGCAAACAACCTAGCGCGTTGCAGCAACCCGAACCTAGCATGCAACGCCACAGCTGCCTGCACCCACATCTCATTATCAGCAACTTGGGTGAACTGGAGCACGTACAGACAACACACGTCGCACGACTCCAGGTCAAAAGAATCACCAACCCAACAGGCATCATGATGGAGGCACAACCGGTGAGTGTCACCCTGAGACAAGGGAAAAGAGCAACTTTCAAACTCGCAAGATGCAAGGGAAAACTCGGGAGTCACATCCACTGGACCACGTAGCCAATGGGGTTTCCCAGGCCCCGTAGGGTTTCCCAGGGCCCTTAGCCTTGGTACACACTAAGGGAAGCCCAGGCAGGGTACTGCGAACCGGTGCCCAAGTCTACCAAACAAACTTCTAAAGCTGAACCCCTTAGGCATGTCCACTGACGGGGGCCAGGCGGGGGGAGTACCACCACAAAACAGAAATATACTGAATATCTGTATACACCCCTAGAACAGCAAAGGGGAACCACAAGGCAAACCTCCCCACCTGGCAAAAAACAAAAATAAAAGAAAAACCCCGCAAGAGGACAACGAACCCAGACAGAACAGAGTCGGCCGCTGTTATGGATGAAAACTAGCTGTGCAGTACCCCGTGCACCTGCCAGTGACAAAAACTTCCCCCTACCCAGAGACAAACAAGGGCAAGAAAAACCCCAGCTGACCCCAAGGGCGGCCAAATACCGAGCAGTAAACGGCACAGCGGAGGTAGATCCTGAGGTGACTTGTGGAAGGAGACCCCAAGGGCAGTACTTACAGGGCACCTAGGGAAGGGAACCCTAGGCACATGCAGCCCGAGTACCGTGGAACACTTCTCCTGGCTCATGCACCAACTGAAAAGACAGCCCACACCACAAGGCACAGAATTGAAACAAAAGCTGGAGCCAGAGGCACGACCACACCAGACTCCCATCAGCCAAGAACTGCAGGTTGGGTTGCCGGCGAGTGGGTCTGGGGCTCCCCTTTCCCCCTCCTGGGGAGAGGGGGGGGGGGAGATAGCACAGACAGTGCAGCAGCAACATGATGACATCATACTCGTTTGCTAATTTTCGTTTGGGGAGTTCTGTCCATTTGTTCGGCTTTCTGTAGCAATAGTTTTACCAGAATAGGGGTTTGTTTTGGGGCGCCTACCTTTCTGGCTGCCTATTCTGGTTGATGGCAGACATAGAATGCTCCCAACCACAGGAGGGTCTCTATAGGCCATTGCTCCTCGTGCCTTTCTAGAGGGGGCTAGGTTCTGGCCCGTGGTCCCCGGGAGGCAAGAACTCCATGCAGTGACTGATGCCAGAAAGGTAAACATATCCATTCAACCTGGATAGCTCCGGGGAGCTGACGGGGATCCCCCCAGAAAATTATTTTCAAACTCCTGGTAAATTTTATTTGGCCAACTTTATTTTATATATTATTTTTTTACACCCCGTCATTTGATACACATGTATTAGGAACAGTTAACTGAACATTATTTACACACACATCCATATTTCTCTAGCTCCTGCCTCTAATCCTTATTTTAGAGAGAGAAAATCTTGACTCAAGGTGAAAAAAATGCTTGAAACTGAAAGTGATAACTAAATGTACAAATTTGCTTTACCTATGCCCAATGACTTTCCCGTGAACACCATAGTGCTTCCTCTTAGGAAAATCATCCACTCCATAATTGAAAATCCACACTCCATAATTGAAAATCCACACTCCATAACTGAAGTTTACTGAGGGAAATCAAAATTTTCATATCACAAAATTAATAGCTCTCTCTCAAAAACTTTTCTTTAGTTAAATTTGATAAGAAGTTCAAAGTAATGCAATTATAGTACAGTACTGTAATACTAAATGGTAAAGTTCTAAGAAGAACTCGACTACTGTACTCCTGTGTAACGTACGCAATTGTTATGAACCTACAAGTGCATCTATTTAAACAAAAGAAAATTAAATAGGTTACCTTGATACTTCTTGTGACGCCTCGATGGAGTTGAGAGATGGACTTCTGCCCTGTGGTCTTTGTTGCATCTTCTCTAGTTCACCTTCTATATTCCGCGTATATTCCTCTGAACGTTCTCGCAACTTGCGTTCTTTACTCGCCTCGGCTTCAGCTTCCTCAGATCGACCCTGAAAGAATTAATTTGCTAATAACATGATTTGTGGCAATTTACTTTCTTGAAATGGACGAGTAATAAATATGTATGATAAAACCATGATCACAGATGAGTCAGCAAAGCAGAGAGGGGAGGGAGATTTAAGAGTGCTAATTGTATCACTATAAAGACCTATCCTTGTTGTCACCAGAATATTGATATTAAACTAGTTTTAGTTAGGTAGAACTGTTAAAAGTATAATATATTTTTTGTTAAAATAATAAAGAACTTTGTATTTTTTACAATAAAACATAAATTTGAATATTCCTTGTCAATGGTATGTTTCACAATTTTGTTATACTTCCTTAGTGTTTTCATATACAGTGGTACCTCGAATAACGAATTTAATCCGTTTCGGTGCCGTGTTCGCCATGTGAAGCGAACGTCATACAAAACGAATGTCCCATTTAACCACTGTTGTGTTTATTGTGAAATTCCCCCAGTGTGCATGACATCAAGTGTTCCAAAAAATCATTTTTCATTATAAAATGATAAATTCCCTTCCCTGAACATGTCTATGTAAAAATAATAACCAAATTCCACTTACTTTGGCTGTGGGGACGTGTACAAGGTGCACTGTGACATCATCAGGGGCTGGTCGCCCGTGCGTGAAGCGCCCAGACACGGTCGCGCAGGCCATTCAAGCACCGCGTGTTGCCACAAATATATTTTCAAATATTTGTTCTATGTATTTCCAGTGCGGTTTTATTTGTTTCTTTTATTGCATATGATGCATATTTGTGACCTTTACAATATGTATACAGCAGAATGTTCATAATGTTCCATGGAACTGTGATACGTGTGTCCGTAAGGTGTCCACAATAAATGTTTATTGTCACAATATTACATGGTAAAAATTAACTAAAATTACAATATGTACAGTTTCACATACTATTTACACAGTAACACACTGTATTACACACTCAGTACTTTGGAGGTGCGTAATAGTCAACGAAGTAGTCCATGGTACACAGCACGACTTTGCTCTCGTTGCACCTGGTTGATACCTGGTTGATGGGGTTCTGGGAGTTCTTCTACTCCCCAAGCCCGGCCCGAGGCCAGGCTCGACTTGTGAGAGTTTGGTCCACAAGGCTGTTGCTTGGAGCGGCCCGCAGGCCCACATACCCACCACAGCCCGGTTGGTCCGGCACTCCTTGGAGGAATAAATCTAGTTTCCTCTTGAAAATGTCCACGGTTGTTCCGGCAATATTTCTTATGCTTGCTGGGAGGACGTTGAACAACCGCGGACCTCTGATGTTTATACAGTGTTCTCTGATTGTGCCTATGCCACCTCTGCTCTTCACTGGTTCTATTCTACATTTTCTTCCATGTCGTTCACTCCAGTACGTTGTTATTTTACTGTGTAGATTTGGTACTTGGCCCTCCAGTATCTTCCAGGTGTATATTATTTGATATCTCTCTCGTCTTCTTTCTAGTGAGTACATTTGGAGGGCTTTGAGACGATCCCAATAATTTAGGTGCTTTATTGCGTCTATGCGTGCCGTATATGTTCTCTGTATTCCCTCTATTTCAGCAATCTCTCCTGCTCTGAAGGGGAAAGTGAGTACTGAGCAGTACTCAAGACGGGACAACACAAGTGACTTGAAGAGTACAACCATTGTGATGGGATCCCTGGATGTACAGTGGTACCTCGGAATATGAGTGTCCCTGTATACGAGTTTTTCGGAATACGAGCCGTATTTCCTCAGAAAATGTGCCTCGGAAGGCGAGGGTTACCTCGGAACACAAGTTTGTTGATACGCATACAGGCCGACCTAGTGCGTGGTGGTACGGCGATCGTCGCCCCTCCGCCCCTCAGTTTACCAGTGCCTCGCGCCCAGTGACTACCCCCACGTCAATTCTTCATCCGGATTTTCAGTGTTTTGTTGGATTTTTGGTCGTTTGACCATACAAAGTTGTTATTATATATCTCACCATGGATCCCAAGAAAGCCAGTGGTAAGGATCAAGGCAAGAAAGCCCATGTGAGGATGACAATAGAGAAACAAGAGATCATTCGGAAGCATGAAAATGGTACACGTGTTATTGAACTTTGTAGGCAGTACAACAAAGCCACATCAACAATATACACTATACTTAAGAAGAAAAATGAGATTATGCTAAAGTGGCAAAAGGCATAAGAACAATGACGAAACAAAGACCACAAATACTTGAAGTGGAAAAGTTGTTATTAATTTGGATACACGACAAGGAATTAAGGGGTGATAGTGTTTCGGAGGCCATTATTTGTGAGAAAGCCAGGGTGTTGCACGAAGACCTTGTAAAGAAAACCCCTGGAATGAGTGATGCAGATATGAAAGAGTTTAAGGCAAGCAGGGGCTGGTTTGAGAAATTTAGAAAAAGAAGTGGTATCCATAGTGTTGCGAGGCATGGGGAGGCTGCCAGCTCAGACAAACCAGCCGCTGAACGATTTATTGAAGAATTTAAAGAGTTTGCAGAGGCTGAGGGATACCTACCGCAACAAGTGTTTAATTGTGACGAAACAGGACTGTTTTGGAAAAGAATGCCCAAGAGGACATACATTACCAAGGAGGAAAAATCCTTGCCCGGACACAAGCCTATGAAAGATAGGTTTACGCTTGTGCTGTGTTCAAATGCGAGTGGCGATTTGAAAATTAAACCCTTGCTAGTGTAACATTCTGAAAATCCAAGGGTTTTCAAACAGTATAAAATGCAGAAAACCCAAATGTGTGTGATGTGGAAGTCTAATAAAAAAGCATGGGTGACTAGGCTTATTTTTTCGGAGTGGGTGAACGAAGTGCTGTGCCCATTCATAGAAAAATATCTGCAGGAGAAACATTTGCCACTCACGGCCGTGCTTCTCCTCGACAATGCTCCTGCTCATCCTCGAGGATTGGAAGATGAATTGATGCACAAATACAGTAAATTTCTCACAATAAAGTTCCATCCTCCTAACACCACTCCTCTAATTCAGCCTATGGACCAGAAAATCATAGCGAATTTTAAGAAACTGTATGAAAGGGCACTTTTCCGGAAACGTTTTGAAGTGACTGAAGCCACAAACCTCACCCTCAAAGACTTCTGGAAAGACCATTTTAACATTTGTAGTGCTTTAAAACTCATTGACAATGCCTGGCAAGAAGTGACTCAAAGAACCCTGATCACTAGCTGGAGAAAATTGTGGCCTGAATGTGTGACAGAACTAGACTTTGAGGGGTTTGAGCCTGTAAATGATGCGCCTATTGTTGAGGAAATTGTTACTCTGGGCCAACAAATGGGCTTGGAATTGGATGGTGATGATGTGGAGTTGGTGGAAGAACACAACGAAGAACTGACCACCGAAGAACTCCAAGCCCCTCAAAAGGAACAGCAAGACGACGCAGCTGATGATTCTCCAGTGGAGGAAGATGAGGCAGTAGCGAATGTCCCTTCTGCAGAAATATGCGTGCTGTATATGTTCTCTGTATTCCCTCTATTTCAGCAATCTCTCCTGCTCTGAAAGGGGAAGTGAGTACTGAGCAGTACTCAAGATGGGACAACACAAGTGACTTGAAGAGTACAACCATTGTGATAGGATCCCTGGATTTGAAAGTTCTCGTAATCCATCCTATCATTTTTCTGGCTGTCGCAATATTTGCTTGGTTATGCTCCCTAAACGTTAGGTCGTCAGACATCATTATTCCCAAATCCTTTACATGCCGTTTTCCTACTATGGGTACATTTGATTGTGTTTTATACCCTGTATTATGTTTAAGGTCCTCATTTTTACTGTACCCGAGTACCTGGAATTTATCACTGGTAAACATCATGTTATTTTCTGATGCCCAGTCGAAAACTTTATTAATATCAGCTTGAAGTTTTTCAATGTCTTCAGCCGAGGTAATTTTCATATTGATTTTTGTGTCATCTGCAAAGGATGATACAAAGCTGTGACTTGTATTTTTGTCTATATCTGATATGAGAACAATGAAAAGAAACAGTGCAAGGACTGTACCCTGAGGTACAGAGCTTTTAACTGCACTTGGACTAGATTTTATATGGTTGACTGTTACTCGCTGAGTCCTGTTTGACCGAAAACAGAGTATCCAGCGTCCTACTTTACCGGTTATTCCCATTGACTTCATTTTGTGTGCTATCACGCCATGGTCACATTTATCGAAAGCCTTTGCGAAGTCCGTGTACAGTATATCACATCAGCATTCTGTTTTTCCTCTAATGTTTCAGTGACTTTGTCGTAGTGCTCAAGTAGCTGTGAGAGGCACGATCTTCCCGCTCGAAATCCATGTTGGCCTGGGTTGTGAAGGTCATTGGTCTCCATGAAATTGGTGACCTGACTCCTAATCACTCTCTCAAATGCTTTGCTCCCTCCCTTGTGTAGAGGGGCTATGTCTACTACTTTAAGTGCATCTGGTATCTCCCCCGTGTCCAAGCTCATCCTACACACTATACTGAGTGCCTGTGCTACCGGCACTTTTCATTTCTTTATAAATATTGAATTCCATGAGTCTGGACCTGGGGCCGAGTGCATGGGCATGTTTTCAATTTCTCTTTCAAAATTTAGTGCGCTCGTGTTGATATCAGTTATATTTACAGGGGTTTGAATATCCCGCATAAAGAAATTGTCTGGATCTTCCACTTTCATGTTGTTTATTGGAGTGCTAAACATGTCCTCATACTGATTTTTTAGCATTTCACTAATTTCTTTGTCATCCTCCGTGTATGAACCTTCACTTGTACGAATAGGTCCAATACTGGCAGTGGTTTTTGCTTTTGATTTTGCATATGTGAAGAAGTATTTAGGATTTTTCTTTATTTCCTGAATTGCTTTCTGTTCTAACTGCCTTTCTTCAGTTTCATATGAATGTTTCAATTTCCGCTCAATTTCTTCAATCTCCCTATTTAAATTCCAGTCTATCCTTTTATTATTAAAATTGAATTTACTGAATAGCCCCTCTCGCTTTATCAACGTTTTAGGTCTATTCTGAGTATTGATGGTCGTTTGCACTTCAATGAGTTTGTGATCTGAGTATGTGGTATCTGATATCGTAATGTCTCTGATAATGTCTTCATTGTTCGTAAAGACCAGATCTAGAATATTTTCATTTCTCGTTGGCTCCGATATCTGCTGATTGAGTGAAAATTTGTCACAGAATCTAAGTAGTTCTCTAATCTGTGGTTGGTTAGGTCCTGATAGATTTCCTGGTATAATATTATTGTTTGCTATTTTCCACCTGAGACTAGGCAAGTTGAAGTCACCTAGGAAAATAATATCAGGTATCGGGTTCTCCAAATTATCAAGGCTATTCTCAATTTTGCTTATCTGTTCTGTGAATTCCTCAGCCGTTGCATCTGGCGGTTTGCATATTAGTATAATCACTAAATTTATTTTCTCTATTTTTAATCCCAGTACCTCTACCACCTCATTTGTAACGTTTAGGAGCTCCGAGCATACAAGGTCTTCCCTAATATACAGACCCACTC